TAGAACGGATCGAGATGAACGGAAAAGTCCTGTACCATTTTGCAATTTTCGTAATAGTTAACGAGTAATTAATTATTAAAAATCGTCGTCTTAGGCCGGCCTACCGTCCAATTCGAGCGCGTGGCAAGATGTGACCGCCTGGCGATCGATATTGCTATGCGCACATCTCGCCACGCGCTCGAATTGGGCGGTAGGCCGGCCTAAGACAACGATTTTTAATAATTAATTACTCGTTAACTATTACGAAAATTGCAAAATGGTACAGGACTTTTCCATTCATCTCGATCCGTTCTACCTTCTCAAAAATTTTGTCGGATATGGAAAGACTCACCCTGTATATCATAGCTGCCGCGATTTTACTTACGAGTTCGGCGGCCATCTAGTGGCAGCAACTTTATAAGCGCGCCTGGCCAAATAATATAATTATTTCATTGAAAGATATTACTTCAAATAATAGTGTTTTTTCTATCAAATAATACAGGTTGTTTGAATAAAACAACAAAATTTTTATTCAAAACATACAATGTTTCGTATAAGCATATATTGTTTTAATGAAACAAATTTCAACCAAATAAATAGGAATACTAAATCCAAAGAAACCTTTCTCTCTGTGTACTTCCGTTTTCTAGCCTTTTCTTCCGGGCCGTGGACTCAACCGTTTAATTAATTTCCACACCAGTCTTTCGCCCTTCTCTTTCCCTCCTCTTTACATTCCGGGTGTCAGCTCGTCTTTCGAGAAAATCCTTTACCGGCATTTTCCGTAAAAGACTAGATCTTTGTCACGGCTTTACAAATGGATCCGACGCGAATATCGCCTAAATGCACCTGGGTATCTTCATTAGAACTTTACTCTCTCTCTCTCTGCTTGTCCTTAATCATAATCTGCTTTGAAAATGAAATTATCAACGAGAGAAGCGTAGAAGCTTTATAGAACTTATATATTTTTGTCGTGTTACATAATAAAACCGTGTCGCCAATGGAGTGTCTTGATAAACACTGAGATCGGTGTGTGGTAAAAACGCAACTGAATAAAGTAAATGTACACAGAGTTCCAAGTGTTTAAAAAATTATAGATATCAAAATTGGATTACAAGCGAGAGCAGCGTATACTCTAACTGCTTTCTAACTTCATTAAGAAGTTTTGCGCTCCTTATTTGATCTCTCCCGTTTAAAGTTGCACGAATAATGTCTTTTCAAATCTATTGTAATAAATAGAATTCTGTGCAATTTACAACGTCAAAATTAATGGACTCTATTTTTATATCCTTTCACATCTATTTAGAAATATTATTTTTACGTTTACACAAACTTATTTTTTATATTTACATTTATTTATAGATAATTTATTGTGCGGGTTTGATTTTCCCCATTCATCCTATTGTTCTTTAAGCTGCATCATTTATATAAAACCATAAAAAAACAGGTAGGATTCATTTTATGATTTTTCACATTAGCGATCTTTTTTAAATTATCTAAGACTTCACCTTAAATAAAACTTGTGTTTAAAAGATTTAAAATAATTTATTATT